ATGGGGCAAATTCAAGTTTTGCTTCCATTTTGGAACTTTATGGAACTCTTTAAAAAATATTTTCCGTTTATGGTTGGTTGAATCCGCAGATGCCCAACTTGCAGATAATGGAGGGCCGAGTGTACTTTGCTTGTGTGTTTTCTTTGTATGTGGAGCCTAAAGCAATTTATAAAAAATGACTTCACTTTAGAAATTCATATGTAAGTTGGGCTCGGCCAGCAAGCATCAAACATGTCCTTTTGTGTAATTACAACGACGTTTTGAATTGCTAAAGTGCTCTCATTGAATATATTCTGGTTACACTAATTATTTGTCAGCTATTTAATTATTTGGACATAAGTAATGAATGAATGTCATTCTGGGAAAGAGGTGCTGCTTATTCTCGAAAAAGAGATGTGAAGTTACTGTAATTATATCTAATTTTACTAAGTTAAAAGTGGAGCAGAAGGTCCCAGTTTGTACTCAAATGGTTGAAAACACATCCATTATCTGTTTTCTTCCTTTTTGGAAAAAAGCTAATCGTGTTGAATTGCCTTGTATTCTTAGAGTTATTCTCTGAAGACTAGTGTTCATGGAGCGGTGGTGAGCCTATACTATTCAAATGGCTACTGTGTGTTACATGTACTTTTGTGATAATAACGTTTCTCACAGTGGAACAGATTTGCTAACAGATGTTCTTCTCAATGACACATACTCAGGGAATATTCTGTGACAGTGACTCCGATGAAGAACAGCTGGCTCAGATGACATTGTAAATGATCAAGTTATCTTCACCAACTCACCTTGAGAAAAATCAGTCCAATTTCAATAGGCACAACATTCCAACAAGAAAATACCTTTAAGTTATCAGGTTTTCTTGCTTGGGCTAATAGGGAACATTTTTATAATGGGCAGATTATAACTATTTACTAAAAATAATATTAACATATACCATACACTGAGTTTTTTCTTGGGCCTAAAGCTGTATTGAAATACCTTCATTTTAGTATACATAATCTGAAGAACACTGAGTATTTTAAGGGCTGAAATGTATACTTTCTCAAAAAAGCACCAGTTGTGGCAGGATTTGAAAGAACAGGTTTCATCCCCTTTTTTGTTTAAATAAGCAACTGATATGATTTCTTTGCATCTTTTATTCTGGAAATAATGGCCTCAGATACTAAATGTTAAATCAGAGTTAAAATAAGTAAACTGAATTGGTTAGATATAACCAACAAGTTCTATAGAAACAGCACATTTATTACGACAAATGTATTTCAAGGAAATCATTAAAAATTGTATTTTTGAGTTCCAAAGGAATGACAAGCCTTTTTTAGAGATACAGATGCTCGGAAATTCTTAAACAGTGAAAGCGCTATTTCATTTTTTTTTTTTTTTTTGCCTATCAATGTAATAATGCTTTGCTTATTATTATTTTTTAAATCCTAACCCATCCCATTCTTCCTAATGGTTCTCAGTTTCCATTTTCCTACTTAAGGTAGCTTTTAACCAGAGAATTATTAAACTGCAAGGGACCACAGTGGTTACATAATCTCCTGCCATCCTTTGCTGCACTCCTGATGACAGCAGGGTACAGGATCTGCTGCACTTTCCCCAAAGGTGAGGAGATCTTATCAACTCAGCTCGCAGAGTGCTGGTTTCAAACAAGCACAGGCTGTTCAAGATAGAATACAGGCCTTGCGTCGTGAATCCCACATCTGCCCCTTCTGTATCATCCTTGTGACGTGAGGAAGACACTAACTTCCCACACTTGAAATTCTCACCTGTACAATAGGATCACAATATCTCCTCTCTGAGTGGCTGTGAGAACAACATGACATGACATATAAGAAAGTGCCTCATGGAGAGCAGTTTCTCATTAAATGTTACGTCCTTCTTGAAAGTTCATTCTCATACTGAGATCAGACTTATAACGCACGACTCCGTTATTTTCAGGAGCTACACAGAATCGGTCTTACGTCTTTGTAACCTGCAACTGCCCTCTGAGCACAAGAATAAGGAAGGGAAGATCTTTGTTCAAATGCCAACTATCATATTCTTCCCACGGGATGGTTACAGTAACTGACTTAGAAAAGATCAATGGCAACCTTCGTTAGGAAAACTTACCTGGTCCCTGTGCCGGGTTGTCTAGTCCAGTAAACATTTACTAACTGCTTGCAATGTGCCAGAAACTAGGCTAGTGGCTAGAGACTAATTACGAGACACAGTGTCTTTCCTGACAAGTCTACAATCTTCTGAGAAACAGACGCATACTAAGTGAAGATTGCACTACGCAGCGACATGCTAATAAGTTAGATATAAACCGCTAAGTGACTGAAAACGACAAAGCACACAGGAGGCATTTGGGGTGGGTTCTCCACAGGCGGCAATTTTTAAAAACTCGGTCTTGAGAATATTCATCCATTCAGCAAACATGTACTAAGGACCGACTATGTGCCAGCACGTTATACTAGGTGCTGAGAATATAAAGGTGGGTGCAGGGGTGGGGTCGGGGGTCCCTACTCCCATGGAGTTTACAGTCTAATTTATGATTATTCCAGTCCAATGGAATAGGTATTTTAGTAGACTCTAAGAAGACCAGCTTCAACTTTCCCACTTGCCACGTGAATGAGTAACCATTCTTGGCGGAGGGGGGTTCCAGGACCCAGGCTAAGTTGGGTATTTTGTAGTATACCCACATGATCTAAAATCCTAGAAATAAGCAAATAAACAAAATAATTTTTTAAAGGTTTTCTTTCCCCTTCCCATGCTGCAAAGCTAAGCGTACAGTGCGAGTAATCTTTAGAATCTCAAACGGTTAAGACGAATGGCAAATGCTAAGCAAGACAGCCAACGTGGCCGTCTGTGATTTGAAGGCAACGCTGTGGTGTGGCAGAATGAGTACGAGCTGTGCTGGAAATGCAGCCTCAGGGACAACGCGCGCCTGGGAAGGGCCAGGCGTGAGTGTGGGCTCACGCGATGCAGGCTGCCTTTCTGCTTAGAGCCCTCCAGCCCTCGTCTGCTAATGACAGGACACATATTCTTCTGCACGGCCACCATCCCACTAGCCGCGGTAGTGGATGGGAAGGGGTGTTATTAACTCAACAGAATACTTTGCAAATCGACTGTTTTCAGGCCTTTGCCATCACATATCAATAAAACTCAGAGCTAAACACAGAAAAACCAAGTGCCTTGAATTTCTCTTCCTTTTGCTCCCCTCGACTTTAACCTTTCAAGAAATTTTTATTTGTATTCATCTAATTTCATTCAAGACTCACCGGGGTATACACACTGAGACAGAGGATGTGTGTGTCTGGTTCACACTGTAGGAGTTCAATCGATCTTTGCTGAGTGGAAAGATGAATTAATGTATGGAAAGAAGGCACTAGCTCTTTCTGAGACGGGTGGATTGGTGGATTTAGCCAAAAAAAGCTAAGTACCTTGCCTGACTCGTACCATGTTTATAGCACAGGGGGGCCTAGGATCCAGGTTTCCCACACCCCCTGCCTTGGCGATTACGGCGACACCACCCAGCCACATCTACAGCACCCAAACCTGAGAGAACTCAAGGCAGGCCGAGGTGGGAAAAAGCGGACACCGGGCCACCTCAGAGGAATTTCACAACGTTTCCTTTCCCTCAGTCTCTGCTACTCTCATGAGACTCGGTCTTTGTGGATGAATTTGAGGCACCACTGCCAGCTTGCTAAGAACACTAGTAAACAGGACCACGTCCAGCTGTAAAGAACACAGAGCCGAGACACAGACACAGCCTTCCCCAAGCGAACAGCCCGATGGTGAAGCTGCCCACATGGCACTGATTTTCAGAATATAATTCGCTGAGCTCCCAGCGTGCGCTCTGCCAGTGCAAAGGGGTGCAGCTCTCCGTCCCTGCCCCGCCAGCGGCCACAGTCACGTGGGAGACTGCAGTGATGCTCAACTGGCCAGCTCTTGCCTCCCATGAGCTGCCCTAGTAACAGCTGACCTAAGTCTGCAAGGACAGACAGGAAACAGTCGGATGAGGGGGAGGAGGACTCGAGGCCGAGGCTGCTACACGAGGAAAGTTCTGGACGCCTAAGAGGACACAGCCCATTTAGGGAATTATAAGAAGTGCAGTACGACCAGGACGAAGACTCAGCTCCTTCGGTGGCTGCAGATGACACTGAAGAAGTTGTCTGTGGCCCAGGGATTACTGCAAGTTCCAGAAACTGTGCCAAGAGGTGCTGAGTTCCTAGCAGGAGACCTCCATTAAAGGGAGACATGGAAGCCTACTGGTTCTGGCATTTCAGGCCTGTCACTGCTTCCCCCTTCTTTGACAACAGTTCATATACTCTTTCTTTAATACTTTCAATTACTAATACGAAACATCTATCCAGTACTCATCTTCCTCATTTATGTTAACCAGAAAGTTACAGTAAGAATCCCAGGGGTTCTGTATTCTTGGTAAAGATTCTGCCCTCCCCACCCCCTGCCGCCCATTTTCCATGGATGTATTTTCTTTCTCTTATGCTAAATAAGTCTATGAACCATATCAAAGAATTATGGAATGATAAATGGAAAAACTGATAATCCATTAATTAAAAAAACTGGGAACTTTTATTTTCTTCACTGAAAAGAATTTCCACTAAGAATCGGTATTCAGCAGCACAGCTTAAGAGGAAACGCTTAAGGGTAAAAACAGCTTGGTGTACGTAGGCAACTGCTTTTTGAATGACTGCATCACTCAGAGGCAACCTGCAGAGGACGGTGGCCGAATGCTACGCTACACGCCTGGGGGTCTTGCCCGCACGCCTCCTTGACCCTGGTCCTGAACCTCGCCACCACCCAAACTCATCTTCCATATCTGAGGTTTAAGTTATTTGACGAAAGAGGTTACTTCTTTCACATTTTCTGTGCCTCTGGTACCAAGTACTTATTTAGCACTCAATAAACGTTTGCTAAAGAGCTAAAGCCAGGTGAGGGATACCGGTCACAACACCCGACGCTATGTCTGGGTCACAGATCATCAGAACACCTCCACTTACATAATCTCCATAGGTCTCTTGTGTCGGGGGCGGCGGTGGAGGTCTGTACCCAGTTGGGGGGACGCCTCTTGCTCTGGGAGTGAGAAGTCCTCTTCCTCGACTCACTGGCCCTCGGGTGGAAAGGATTCCTCTGGAAGTCGGCGTCCCTCGCGGTACCCCGACTCCCACTGGCCGGGCCGCGACTCCTCCCCTCCCCCTGCAAGCAAAAGGGTCAAATTAGCAATACTCGTGGTATTCTCTAGCATTCCACTGTGCGCATGCATTTATACCTCACAAAAATCGGTGTCCCGTAATTCTGTAAAAAGAAATAAGGAAACCACGTGCAAAGTGAAAACTAAAAGCAAATGAGAAACAGGCACCTACCTAAAGGAAGGAAATTAAGTCATTTAGGCAGCTCGTCCAGCAACAATAAAGATGGTAACATCAAAGAAACCCCAGGAGTCAGGGTCTGCCTGGGACACAGGATAGGAAACTGACATCTGGGGAGGCTGCATCTACTGAGCACTCCATCACGTCCTGCCAGGGTCACAGCCAACCCTCACTCCAACACTGTGACCTGGGCCTTACCTGGCTTGTCTGCGGACAAGGAAACGGAGGCCTAAACAGGCCTTAAGACTGTCTGAGAACACACAGCTGGCACACCCGGGACCAAAACATATCAGATTCCACGAGAGAGGGAATAAAATGAACCTTCCCAAAGAGTGTACCTACTACCTAGGGACTGAAAGCATCACTCTTAGGTTAAATAAACACATATATTTTCTGAAGTAGAATTCAACATATTCATGTATTTCTAACATAAAATATGAGACTTCCAAGTCAGAGAGGAAGGCAGGAGGCAGAAGAGCCCAACATAAGGTAAAACTTGAGGAAGTGTGCAAGTCCCATGAAGAAATGAGGACAGAAGTTCAGCTCCGCCAGAAAATAAAGGCATAGCCTGACCCACCTCCTGTGGACAATGTCCTCCAAACAAGGAGAACCAAGCAGATAATGAGGCTGCCTACAGACCAGTTCTCTCTTCTTCTCTTGTTTGACTGGGATAGCAAATACACAGCTGAAAGCTCCAATTCCACAAACTCGTTCTTTGAAAGGATCAATAAAATTAATAAACCTCTAGACAGGCTAAACAAGAAAAAAACAACAATATCATAAATGAAAGAGGGGTCATCACTACTGACCTCAAGGACATTAAAAGATAAAAAAAGGAAGATGATGAACAAGTCTAGGCCCACAAATTTGTTAACTCTGATGAACTGGACTAATTCCTTGAAATATACAAATGACCAAATCTCCTATAAAGAGAATTAAATAATCTGAATAAACCTATGTTTATTAAAGAAATTTAATCAATAATTAATAATCTTCCAAAAAAGAAAGCACCAGACCCAGAGGTTTCACTGGCGAATCCTATCAAATATTAAAGGAAGGAATGATACCAGTTTTCCACTCTCTTCCAGAAAATCAAATCAGAGGAAACATTTCCTAACTCATTCTCTGAGGGTGGCCACCGGACGTGCCTCCTGAAAATTATTTCTACATTACTAGTCAGAGGCTGAGACTGGCCTGGGCCACCGGGGAAGACAGAAGTGACCGGCTTCCACTTGGTCTTGAGCCCTTATGGGGACCTGTCACAGGAGGTGCCTCCCAAGATTTTTTCTCTAAGTCCACCTGTGGAAGCCACAACTGGTCAAGGGGCTGGGAGACAGAGAGGCCGAGGAAAGGTGGCAGGGAGCTGAGCAAGGTGGTCTCTGACATCCCGAGGAAGAGACATGTGGTCCAAGGGGAAGCAAAAGGCATTAAAGACATTATACAATGAAACAAACAAGCAAGCGGACCATAAATCGGTATCTCCCATGAACAAAGACGCAAAAATCTTCAAAAACAGCAGCAAATTGAATTTAATAATGTATTAAACACGTCACGACCACATGGGATTTGTTCCAGGTATGAAAGGCTGCTTCAGCATTAGTGAAAATCCATGTGACCAGCCTGCCAAGAAGGCTTACGAAGAAGAATCGTAAGGTCACATAAAGCAGAAAAGGCGTTTAATGAAATGCAACGTCATTCACGATAAAGACTCGGCAAACTAGGAACGGAGGTAAGTTTACTCAAGTTAAAAAAGAACATCTACAAAAACCTACAACTAACATCATATTGAACGGTGAGAGACTGAATGCTTTCCCCTTAAGATTGGGAACAAGGCAAGGATGCCCAGCCTTACCACTCCAATTAAAACTGTACTAGAGGAAGACATATGGGAACATATGTTTATGTATGACTGATTCACTTTGTTGTAAAGCAGAAACTAACACACCATTGTAAAGCAATTATACCCCAATAAAGATGTTAAAAAAAAAAAATCACTCTAAAAAAAAAAAAAAAACTGTACTAGAAGTCCTACCTAATTCAATAGGACAAGAAAAGGAAATAAAACTTTTAAGATTGTGCAGGAAGAAACAAAACTTTGTCTGCAGGTGACATTTCCATGTAAGAATTCCCAAAGAATCAACCAGATCAAAACAAAACAAAGCAACCATACGAACAAACAATAAACTAGAACTAATAAGCACGTGAAACAGGTCTTGGAATACGAAGTTAATAAGTCAACTGCTTTCCTACACAGCTGCAATGAATACCTGAAATCTGAAATTTTGAAATTAGTCACTAAAACCACCAAGATGCCCTTTGTTCAATAGGTGAACAGATAAGCAAGCTGGGGTACATTCATATAATGGAATATGATTCAGCAACAAAAAGCCATGAGCTAATAGTGGTAAGTCATGTGAACAGTATGTTCCCATGATATGATGTAATAAAAATAGCATTTTATTTTTTACCTCTGCGGTTTTTGTTCCCCAAACCTATAACCCTGGGCTAATCGTGAGCAAAATATTAGACAAATCCCAAAGGAGGGACACCTTACCAAAACCTGACTGGTACTTCTCAAAACTGTCAAAATCCATGACTTTCACCTTTAGGCAACTTGTGTTATCCCTTTTTTGAGCACTGTAAGTTAGATCTTTTTTGTGTGTGTTTTCATACTAGGTCATAAAAATCGGTGCAATAAAACTGGTGGTCTAGAGCAAGGACACTGGATTCAGATCGATTTCCTGACTGTACTTATTTACCTCTGCCTTCCAATTAACATTCAAACTAATCAAGAGTCTGAACTTTCCAAGACAGTCTCCTCAATTGTGAAATGGGATACAGAACCCATTTCTTAGTACTATGGTGAAGGAAAAATGGCAGGACATACACGGTATTTAGCCCATTGGCTACTCAATGAATAGCAGCAACTTAGATAAATTTCAGTCTCTCTGAGCTGTACTGATAGACACTGTAATAGCTATAGTCTTCCTCACCTTTTTATCTCTGCTATACATCTAGAAAAATCTTCAATGTGATTAGCGAAAAGAGTAGTTTCTACCTATGGTACATCTAACTCATCTGTGATATTTCAGTCAACCTGTGTGTATTCAAACTAAATAAGCCTCTGGCTTCTTTATCTAATACCCCATCTCTGCCGTCCAAGGTACTATATCGATCACAAAATATTCAGTATTTCAATAAATTCATGTCTTTTACCACACGGAAAGACATTATATTTAAGAAGCTCACCATTCTTTCTTATCATCATCGACATTGTCAAGCTATGTGCCCACTGGGTATATGGAATCATACTAAAGAATCCGTTATAGAATTTTAGACAAGTCATTTGATATATGTAGCTCGGGATACTTGTCTACAAAAGACACTTTGAAGATTCGTTTTTAAGAGTTTCAAATCCCACGGGAATGGTGTCGAGCAGCACGGTCTTAGTACTGCCGTTAAGTGGTCTCTGGTGAGAGGAAGGCACGACGCAGTGACAGGCCAACGTGAAGGTCCTGCTGCACTGCCTCGTGCTCACTCAACGCTACAAATGAAGTTCAGGGTAGAGCTGAACAGCAGGGCTCATAACATGGGATGAGAACAGAAAAGTGTCTGGGAGATGACATTTATAACGACAATCAATGGGAACGTACTTATTTTTTACTTGAAAGGTTGATTCAAATTGATAGGATTGGGTGCTACACCGCTCAGAACGGGGATAAGGGAAAAGCAGAAACATAACACATCTGACTAGAAAGTTTCATAAGCAAAGGGGTGTGACTGTAAGGGTTCTTTCTGTTTGCATTTTTCAGCAGGGTGACCTTGGTTTCTGGTTTTGAAACTCAGATATGAAAATAATTGAGAGAAGTTTTTTCCATGGAAAGAGTGCTTTGGATGATCAATAACTTCTTGCATTCAGTCAATTAGGAACTAATTATTCAGTTTGTATATTAATAGGAGGTTTTAGGCTATGATGAAAAGGCATGTGATGTGGGTTCCAGCACACCCACACTCCAACTCAAATCTAGTCCTGTCGTCACTGGGCTGCTGAGCCTTGGTTTTCCCATCGACAAGTCCAGTTAATAACATCTGGCTCTTGCAGAACGGTTGTGAGGTTTCCAACCACATCAGTGCCTAAGCTAAAACAGGCGCTCAGCAAGTGGTCATTACCGTGTGGATTTCTACCTGGACTCTGTCCTGACGCTGTCCTTTCGGCTGCTAACCGAAGGGTGAGGAGAGAGAGGGGACAGAAGGTGCATCTCGCATTTGTGCTCATGTCGTCCATTCAGCAGCAGCGCATTTACGTACGTTTCACACATGTAGCAACAGTGATGCAGTGTGGTACAGAGTAAGGGTATATATACCACATTGTTTGGCCTTTGTCTATATATATATTTTTTTGCGGTACGCGGGCCTCTCACTGTTGTGGCCCCTCCCGTTGCGGAGCGCAGGCTCCGGACGCGCAGGCTCAGCGGCCATGGCTCACGGGCCCAGCTGCTCCGCTGCATGTGGGATCCTCCCGGACCGGGGCACGAACCCGTGTCCCCCGCATCGGCAGGCGGACTCTCAACCACTGCGCCACCAGGGAAGCCCTGTCTATATATTTTATGAGAAGCAAAAGTATATGATAAAACAATGAATTTCGTGGAATTAGCTCAAGCTAGCTCCAGCATTATCAGCTGGGTGACCCTGGGAAACACAGGGGATGCCTGGGCCTCAGGAAGAGAAAGGTCTACAGCTGATCACAGAGGGGGTGCCTGCTGGATCCAGTGTCAAGGTCTAGCCGGTCTCACAGTAAGAATAAGCTTTCCCAGAGATCCATCCGAG